CCGGCGTGTTCACCAGCGCTGCCTCTGAACCTCAGTTTCCTCAGCTGCTCAGCAGTAATGAAGCTCAGGGCCCTGTGCTGCTGTTTTGAGGGACAGAGAAAACGGAAATCCAGTCTCATCTTGGACAACTGTTTGTTCAGCTGTTCTTAAGTTGTCTGTCCTGTATTCACTCTGAGGAAGCTTTGGTGTATCTGAATTTTTCCTCTGTATTCATCATAATTTGTATTCTTCTATTCTAGGAGCTAGAAATAAAGCTAAGAATTGCAAGTTGATTACTCCGTAGAAGTAAATTCTTGCAATTTTTCAAAATTAGACAAACCAGAAGTAAACAACGCCTTGATTTTTCTGAATCCAAAATCTTTGCAGTAAATACCTGTGTGGTTTGGCCCCCGCAACTTCCTACCTTCGTCCCTTTCCTACTTCCTCCATGTTCCAGTCCCACCGGCCGCTTTTGTACTTCCCCATGGGGCAGGCTTCTTTCCATGTTAGAATCTGGGCTGCTGCCCTTTTGATTTTTGCTTGGGCAATTCTGTCTCATCGCTCAACCTGCCACCTGCTTGGAGAGGGGCATGGGGCCACCCACCTTCTTAGCCAGTCATCTCACTTTATTGTGTTGGCATCCTGGAATTTATGATCTAAGGTTATGTTTTGCACATGTGCATTACCTGTCTTCTCCCTCTAAAATGTAATTTGCTTTGGAAAGAAAAAAAAAAAAAAACTTGTTGGGAAGTCAGTGACAATAATCCCATACTGGATGTCAATAACGGCATGTTGAATGGGTGAATGGATTTTTGTTTCACCATGAGATTGCAGGGGGGAAACCAGAGATTTTGACTTGTGATTCCAAACTAGGGATTATATTACACGAGAATTTGCAAAATTCCAGGCATGTAGCTAATTAGATATTTCAACTGTTTTATATGACTTAATTCCTACCACTCTGTAAAGTAGGTATTATCGCTACTCCCAACTTACTGATGCACAATTGAAGTCCACGGAAGCTAAAGTGCACCAGGTATCACAAGTAAGAGAGCTACAAGCAGGGGGCTGAGCCAGTACTCTTTGCTCCCAAGTAGAAAGTGCTCAGGAAATACAGCCATAGCCATGTGCTGAGCTCTGAGCTGAGTTCTTCCTGTGCCTTGTTGCTCTGTCCTGGCTTCAGGGGCCTGAGACAAGCACTGCTCTTACTGTTCTGCACAGGAGGAGGCCAGGGCTTGGAAAGCTTTGGCAGCTTGCCTAAAGTCTAAGCTCTAAGCAGCTGCTTAGGGGAGGAAAACAAATTTAAATGTAGACAAATGTGGCTCTAAAATCTCTCTGTATCAAAGAACATGTGTGTATTTCTATATTAGTGGTTTGGGAAAGAGTGATTAGTCTACCTTTTTAAAGGATTTCCACTGGTGTAAAGGAGGAACATTCAATGAGCCTCGCTCTTAGGACTGCTTTCCTTGTGCCTCATTGACTCCCATGTGTCATGTAGGTATTGTCATTTGCTTCTGGAAATTGTTTAACATCTTCTTTGCTTTCTTCTGTGACCCACTGAGTATTCAGGAGTGTGTTATTGAGTTTCTGGGTGTTTCTAAATTTTCTGTGGTTTTTTTTTGGGGGGTGCTTGATTTCTATTTTTGTTGCTCAGTGTTCCAATAGTAAACACAGAGTTACTTTGATTCTTTTATATTTATTTAAGCTGGTTTGTGGAAGTATGTGATCTATTCTGGAGAATGTTCCATGTGCTGAAGAGAAGAATGTGTGCTCTGTTGTAACAGGGTAGAACACTCCAGATATCCCAGAGACTTGTAGGAAAATGGATACATTTGGAAAATATAATGTTAAATTGAATAAATCAGACGCACAATCTTAAATACCGTATATTATTTCTCACTTGAGTAATCCAAAGTATAAATAAAAATCAAAACAATTCTTATTGAATTGATAGAAGAAAACAAGGAGGTAGATCTTTTGCAAATGGGAGGAGTCCAGGAGAATGAGGGTGAGAGAGGGGACCAAGGGAAGGGGAAGTAAATATTTGAGATGTCACTTACCTGTACCAAATACCCACAGTGAATGTGAACATTATGTCATAATTATGAGCTAAAAGTAATACTACAGTAAGAATGACAGTGGGGAAGGGGAATTTAGAAAAGGAAAGAGGAAGATGGCAGGGAGGTGAAGGGGATTAGAGCTGTGTGATGTACATGCACCTACTCTCTAAAATGAATGCAAAGTTCACTTGCTGCAATCATGTACTCATAAAAATAAAGGTTTAGAAAAGGTGTACCATTTCTACAGACCTATAATGGCCACAGAGCAGACCACCTTGGAGAAATGGTGGGAGAAAGCAGAATGCCTATCAGTACAACCAACCGTTAGGGATGATGCAGTTGGCTAAATGTCTACTTCTTCCGAAAGAATGTAAGCAAAAAATTTAGAAATTCAGTACTTGTGAAACATCAAAGTTGGATTCTAAAATGAAGTAGAAAGAAGTATGCATTTTAAAATATAGTTAGGTTCAATTATGGATCTAAAGTTCTAAAATTCAATATATAAAGATCTAAAATTCAATGTATAAAGTTTAGCATTTTTTAATATTAATTTTATTGAGAAAATAAATTATTGAGAAACAAATAGCAATAAGACAGTTTCAAAACCAATTAGTAGGACAGTTTCAATAATTAATATATTGCATATTGTTGCCTTCATAGTGGTTATTCATAGTACAAGATGAAGAAATGATATCCTATCCTAACACTATTAGTACAAATCTTTCTTCGCACTGAATTAAGAGAAAACAGCTGTATATCTATCTTAACTATTTTGTGTATGCAGATACAAAATGGTCCTTCATTTGTATCCCCTTTTTTGTTTAGTTTTGTCAGAGATGGGTATTCCATTGCTATTTAAATATTGTAGGTGCATTAATTCAGCAAAATAATCCAATCTAGTCCAGTACTCCATAATAGTAATGGGTTATCCATATGACTGGCAATGTCAGAAGTGGTTGATTTGAACCTTTTACAGCTCAGCATATTAATATGTTTTTACTTTTTATATCTCATCTTTATAATTTTCGGTTGGATGGTTAAGACCAAGATAAAGAAAGACCTACATAACAAGAAATGTATAAAGTTTAGCATTATTTTATTGATTTGAAAGTTACTTAACAGGTTTTTTGTTTTGTTCACACTGAGTACATCCACAGTGACTCAGCTCGATCATGGCAAAAGCATCTACAAGAATGATGTGGTGATGCTCCTATATTTTACTTGCTGTTAAGTTGCATCTCTAGAGGTTTGCATTATTGGTCACATGTACAAAATCAATGTATTCACAAGCATCATTACTCCGGCTTCAAAAAACATTTGGATGGGGAATCACATGTGTACAAAGATCAACTTTTCTTCTTTAATAATTTCCCTAAGCCACTGAGAACATTGGGTTCAGCAAAAAGAAAATGAATTAATCCAATATTACTGGCCTCTACTATGACAATATTTTTGCAGAACTCTTATTATGAGTGCTTTTATTTGTACAAACTTATATGATGCTATCTGAGCCTGTATTTGATGTTTACAATTATCCAAAAGTGTAGGCAGCCCAGATATTATTAAGCCACTTTACAGATGAGAAAATTGAGGTTAATAGAGTTTAAAGAGCTTGCCCAGGGTCAGGCAGCTAACAAACAGCAGAGCCAACACCTGAACTGAAGTCTTTGGATTATGTTATACTTTTTGCAGCTGCCCACACCTCTTCCTTGTCAAAGACAACCAGTGAGTGGTGAGCTTCCCGATTTCCCTCCTGCCAGGCTGGCTTCTGGGGGTTAGAGCTGTGGGGCCTACAAGATGTCATGTTCTTTACCCAGTGCTGTGCCTGCTTAAAGTCAGTGAAAAGTAGTGAGAAGTGCTTGTGGACCAGGACTGACATTATATTATTTATTTATATTTTAAAATTAACTATGTTTATTGGTACATTTTTGGTATACATAATGATCACATTCAACATAAAGAATGCAACAACTGGGATGAGAGAAAGGAGAAAAGAAAGAAGGAAGGAAAAAATATACATGCACAGGATGGTTTGGATAATTGTGAGGTTAATTTCTACTAGTCTATTGCAAGGAACAGTTAATGCTTAATTTTTTTCTCCTTTTAAATTTACTGACTTTTTCTTTTGCCAATTTTGCATTCTTATATCTGGTAATCTGAACAATTAATTTGAAGACAATAATATGTGATATAATAACCACTGTTGAATTCCTATCATTAATTTTAGTGAAATTCAGTATCATTTCTGTGTTTTTACTTTTAAAATTGTCTTTAAAAATGTTTTTAAAAATAATTTTAAAAATTATATTTTTTAGAGTTTCAAACTTTTGTTCTGTCTGCTGTAGAACCTCCTTATAGCCTCTTCCTTCATCCAGAAGCAGGCGGGGCTGGCATTTCCCTGTGACTCATATTTTTTCTGTCTGTGTGCTCTGGGATACAGACAGCATTTTATTTCCCAGACACTTTGTCTTTTTTGTCATTGTCCTTCCCTCTGCCCCCACTTTTATGGTTTCTTTCAGGTAGCAAAGGTGTTGGAGACTTTCTCAAACATAAATGCTTGCTCAGGGGAAGGATTTGACAAATGGGTGTGCCAGTGACTTTAGCAGAGCACACCTAGAACGTGGCTAACTTAAGGTATCAGGTATTCAGCAAGGCCAGCCAGCAGCCTGAGGCACAGATGGAGTGGGGCACAGTCAGGACAGTCTGGGCTGCTTGTGCAACAGCATTAAGTGTCCTGTTGAAACCTAGCTGGCTGGTGCTGTGGCCTGGCTAGTTTGAAAGATAGTAATTACTTGCCTTTCATCTGGGCAGAAAGCATGGAGCTTACTTTGCGCTAGTCCCAAACAGCAGGTAGATGGTTGAATAAAAGTAAGAATAATTGAGGTTTTCAGACAGGAACAAAACATTCCAATCGACACATAAAACAGAAATAAGCTGACTCAACCTATGTTTTCATCTTAGACATACGAATTTGGGCTGTCCCCCCAATGAGCTCATGATGCTGCTACTCTGCCATGCTCTTGCTGTGGCTATCCTCCAGGTCTTTATCTTCTCAGAGAACCAGGCGCTTGCTAAGAACATCAACTTCTACAATGTGAGGCCTCCTCTTGACCGTAAGTAGCACTGCCATCATTGTTCACATCCTGGAGGTGTAAGAGTGTGCATTTGATGCCCCCCTTCCATCTACCATAATGTGGCCTTTACTGGACTATCTGGTTTATAACTAGAATAAAACAGAAAGGCTTTCTCACTTCTGTGGGAAAGGGCATGGTGAAAAAAAAATTATCGTTTGCCCCCTGCTATAGTCTTAAAGGGTTTTTTGTTTTAAAACATCCTATGGAACACTGACCTTAATCATGACTAGGCAAATCAGGCTTTGTTGATCTCTTCAATGGAGGATATTTGCGGTAGGAGGTTTTGGCATAAATGATGCTGTTCTTTCAGATGGCCTTTAACAATTCTGAAAATAGATTAGAATGTTTGATACTTGGAGGGGTATAAGATGTAGATTTTCACTATTATCACCAATTACCAAAGGTTGCATAAAGTTCATCTTTTCCATTACTAGTTTAAAGATAGGCACATGTTAGTGTATCTTAATTCTAAGATACTATATGTTAATATGTTTATATACATATGTATACATCTGTGTCTATACACATATATCATAAGTCCTTTCTCTTCAAACAAGAAAATCTTCTATGACATACTTTGTTAGGGAAGAGATTTTTATAAATAATAGATTTTATAAATGTAAATGACCATGATTCCCACACATAGAAGAATATCAAAATTATGATGAAAGCCTTTAAATGACATATCCCCAAGTAACTTCTCCAAAGATTCAATGATTAAGAGGCAAGATGTGGAATATGTTTTCTTTTTCAATTTTAAAAAGCTTTTTGAAGTTATGGATACATAACTATGGGTGAGAACAACTGCCTTTATTCTACTTCTAAAAGAGGTGTATGTAATTACAGTTATTTACTTTGTGTTTTCTATATTTTTCAAGACCCTGTGTTATATCTCTCTGTATATATGCATATATACTATACATGTGCATATATTCATATGTGTACTATGTATACCTTGAACTATTATTTATTATACATCTCTGCTTTGATAAATGAATGCATAGCAGCTGAAACTTATGACAGATAGGCTTCATAAATGCTAAGTTATCTACACATATCCAACTTTTGAAGTCTAATAAGTTTTTGTTGAGAAATATTCATTTTAGGGCAGGCCAAATAGCTCAGCTAATTAAAGCGCCGCAGGAACTGGGGTTTTGATCCCCAGGGTGCATTGAGATGGCAATTGAGACTGGGTGTGGTGGTGTAAGCCTGTAATCCCAGAGCTTGGGAGGCTATAAACAGGCAGATCACTACAAGTCCGATCTAGTAGTGAGACCCTGAACACCCCATAGGCCCTTCCCTAAAAATATACAGAAAAAAAATCATTTAAAAAAGAGAAAAATTATAGTATATATTCATTACAGAAAATTCCAGAGAAATAGGAAATATATGGAAGGAAATAAAATTTATTCATGATGCTAATAATTCTAGGATCTCTTAACTGTTGGGGTATTTCACTGTTTTTTCTATGAAAGTGTATTTAAATAAATAATGTAGTGGGATCACATAGACTTAGTTTTATACCACTCATACTATATTTTAAATATTTTTTAATGTCTCTGAAAATATTTCAATGACATATTTTTGCAACAATTACATATTAGGCCTGTAGCTTATTTAACCATATCCATATATTTTATATAAAAAATACACAAGCAGGTTAAACATTAAATTTTATTGTAAATGTCCTTTTCCCTTTAATTTGCAAGAATCTTTGAATAGATTTTCTAAAATCATGATTACTATATCAAAAAGTTGTCCCCATTTCTACTTGCACCATTTATTCCTCAGAATTGGCTATTAGTTTTTTAAAAAATTCTGTGCAGATTTAATAGGTAGAAACAGAAGTCATGTATTTATTTTCCTGCTGAAATAATTTTATATGTAAGACAAACAAGTATATTGGCAGCATTTAATTTCACATCCTCAGGGGCCAGGGAGATAGCTCAGTAGCATAAGTGCCTGCCTGGCAAGCACAGGGTCGCGAGTTCAATCCCTGGTACTGCCAAATAAATAAGTAAGTAAATAAATAAATAAATAAATAAATAAATAAAATTCCACATCCTCTAAACTTTACTCTCTTGCTTAGTTTGTTGCACTAATACATACCCTTTCCCTCCAGTTCGTGCTGATGTTACTGGGGTGGTTTGGGATTCACCTTGATCTTTGTCTGTTTTATTCTCCAGAACTTAGAGAATCAAAAGCTAAATCCACAGTCCTGAGGCCTGGTTATACAGAAGTGTCAAATTATTTTATTTTTAATTTTTGTCTAGTAAAATATCAAGATACAAGGCCAAAATATCCCCTAAAACAAAAACCAAAAAATGCACAGAAAAAAAAATTAGCCTGCTGCTTAGTAAAGACACAGTCTGACAGTACCTTCTTGATATTAGTTTGGAATATTTTGCTTAGTATCTTGAATATTCCTAAATTATATCCTTCCATATTTACAGATGACACTGGCATTCTATTACAGAAATCAAATCTTCTGAATTTTTCAGTGTAACAAAGAAGGGAGAAAAGACACTTAAAGGGGTAATTTTCATAAAATATATTTTAATAAAGTGATTTCAGCATAAAAAGCCATTTTAGAAGATTTAGTAATCATGTCATAGTGTTACTTTCATTTTAAAATTTTTATTTCTTTACTTAAGATAAGGTCTCATTATTTGGCCTACTCATAGGCCCAAGTGATTTTCCTGCCTCAGTCCTCCAAGTAGCTGGGACTACTAGCACACACCACCATTTCCAGTGCTAATTTCTAACTTTAGATTTGTATTATGATAGTAATTGCTTCACTTCAAAATCTGAAACAAATACATTAACAGCTTAATGAAAGTGGTGAATAAAAAGATTGGCTTAATAAACACTAAACAAAAAAAAAAAATAATACATAGAGAAAAAAGGAATTGGTTACTCTCAATCCAGACTTAGTAATTCAGAATTTTTCCTTTCCATGATGCCTGATATAAGGGTTTAAGAACTACTATCATCCTTATTTTAAATATTACATCTGAGATCAAAGCCTCATGTTTTGACAACTGGCATTCGTTAACATACATTAAATGAGATGACTTGTTTGAGGTTAGAGATAGCTGTAATGAGAATGTATATGGATGGAAACTAGCAAGATTTGATGTGTTGGGGGCCCTGGTATGAGCCTCACTGTAAGTCATGAAGACCTCCATCGTTACTGTTATAATTACTGTTATATTTCAGAAGCTAAAAAGATCACACATTGATTAGTGAAGAGGAGATCATGCTAGCTCAGATTAATTTGGACTTTAGTTCATTTCAGGATTGGCCACCAGCTTCACTTAATTCCTTCAGGCTCCACTTATCTCAGAATATGAATTATATTGGAAACATACCATAGATTATTCAAAGTGACTTATGAAGGCATTTTTGTTACTCTATATTTGAATTTTGGAGAACTACCTAAAGAAAAGGGAATCCAGAAAATGCCCTCAAGCCCAAAGGGTAAATCCAGCCCTCTAAAAACAGAAGTGCCCCAACACGTTACTAATCTTGTGTCATATTTAATGTTGAAATGTTTGTCTTTTTTAACCTTGCTATTTTATTTCACTTTTTTTTTTAAAGCCACACCATTTCCAAACAGCTTCAAATGCTTTACCTGTGAAAATGCAGGGGATAACTATAACTGCAACCGATGGGCCGAAGACAAATGGTGTCCACAGAGTAAGTGTCCCACGTTGGGAAAACCCTTTTAGGACCCTGTAGTCATTTAGGTGTCTCTTGACTCACCTGGAGCAGAGATGCCTTGATGAGCATACCAACAGGAGAATCATGTTCTGTGGAGTCAGAAATCTCCTCTAAGGGCTTCGCCAGACTTTAGATTCTCCTGAGAGAACATGGACACGAGTTCCACAGCCTCAATTTGCAGTAGTGTGTATGCTGACAGAGACATTCTTAAGTGGTATTTACTAAGGAGAACAGATAGACTGCCATGTTGAGTAAAGCATTCTAACAATTTCAGAAATGCTTGATGATACCCTAGAAAAGTCATACTTACTGGCTTAAAGTGAAAGAAGGCTTCTGTATTCATTAGCCACTGTAATGCTTGTGGAACTTGTTCATTTGTTTGACAAACATTTGACTATTTTTTTTCAGTTTGTCTAATTCACTAATTCAGTACTGGCTCCTATTAGGCATTAAATAACTTTTTGTTGACAAATTGAATGACTATCTTGGAGTAGATAGGGACATCTTTGAGTGCACCTTACAACTAACACTTGAATGACCCAAACATGTCAGCCAGGCAGAAATCTCTAGGAAGAATATGCCAGGAAAAGGGAGTGGCAAGTGTGAAAGCTTTAAACTGCAAGACTTGGTCTTCTTAGTGATCAGGAAGAGACTGGGTCCTGTGTTGTAGTGGGGGTCGGGAGGACCTGGAAGAGAAGCACCAGCAGGGGTGTGTAGGCGCTTCTTTTTCTGATGAGAAGTGGGTTGCATTGTAAATGTGGTGGGAAGGCAGCAGAGTTTTAAGCAAAGGAGTCAAGGGTACTAGTTGTGTTCTAAAGTACTTCTCTGGCTGCTGTGTGGGGAGAATGGATGGTGGGAGCCAGTGGAAGGGGATGCCAGGGGAGATGAGCAGTACTTCAGGAAGAAGATGAGGACTTGGACCAAACTGGGAGGAACAGAAGAGGCAGGAAGTCGAATAGTTTAAAATATACAATGTTGTGGGTAAAGCAGAGAGAACGTGCTGCTGTAAGATTCAAAGTTGGAAAACTAGAACTTTAAGGAGCTCAGGCTGTTTGGAATCTAGGGTATGCTGTCTTGTTTTGCTTTTCAGGTTTTGGATATAAAAAGCTGAGAAAAACAGACTCAGAATTAGAGATGACTAGTCTGTATCCGCTCTTGCCTTGAAACTTGGGGAATTTCTATACTTAGATCATGCTATTTATAGCAGTGAAATACCTTGCCTCTTCTAGCTAACGAATCTGTGGAACCGTGAGGACTACACAGGAGAGACTTCCATGAGGCCTGAGAGTCTGATGCCATAAGCTGACTTGTCCTGTTTATGAGACCTACATGGGCCTTTTATTTTTTAAAGATTAATTAATTGCCATTTATTTTTCTTGAGGTTCTTTTGAATTTCTGTGGAGTGACTGAGCTTAGGGTATATGTACTTGTGTGTGTGTGCTTGTGTGATTTTGTGTATTTGTTTCTACATTTCCGCAGAAATTTATCCTAGCTATTTCAAAATTTTCAAGGGTGATTAATACCTCTCATACCTAACAGATTTTAGAGGGTGGGTATCATTCTCTAACAATTTGCTTTAAAGCTCCCTAAAACATGAGTAGAAGGATTAGAGTAATTGTAAATTGGATCACTGTCTGCCAGCCTCCCAAGTCATCTTTTAAATTGTACCAGAAATTTCATTCCTTCTAGGACTGTGCTTAATACTCCAGTTTGTCAATCATAAGCAAATCCATTTTAAAAAGCATGTGAGGAACATGCAGTGTCCCTTTCTGGGGTATGAATCTTATATCTGATGGAAGCTGTAGCTTTCTACCATGAAGACAACGTCAGACATAGAAAAAGGGAAAGAGCAGCCTCTGCCATGTCCACTCTGAGAAGCCAGCTCTCAGAAATCAGTACAGAAAGACCCTACATTGCCACGTGATGTGACAGCTTACTCTTGACTATATGCCAGTCAAGTCCCAAAGAGATCAGAAATCTGGATTTATTACTGAGGGTGTAATTTTTTACTTTTCAATTCGTCATTATTTATGGGAGTGGTAGTCAATTATTTCTTGGGGGCAAGCAGGCCAAAAGCTATTGTTCTTTGTCATCTCAGGTTTCCTTTTCTCCTTAGAGCTTCACTCATGCAGTCTGTTGGTCTTGTGAAAAGATCTCTATGTAACAGGCTATAACAGGAATGATATTTCTTGTGTTATTGACCATCTTTAGTGCTGGGTTGCTCTGGGTGTTTTCACATATGGGATCTTCTGAATGAACGCATGCACCTACAAGGTTCCAAGGCTTGGTTGAGTATAAATTGAAATGCCTTTTCCAAAATATTTTGTGGCTCTTGCCTTCTAAACATTCACTCTTTTGTAGCACACTTTGCAACACCATCCAGTTTACTTAATAGTATCCTGGAAGACAGCACAGCTTTCTGATTAAAAGCACATACTCTAGGAAAGTGCAGCTGTTAGAATCCTACTGCATAGAAGCTACGTGACCTTTTTGCCTGCATGACCATGGGCTAGAAACTATGCCTCAATTTCTTTCTGTGTAAATAAGGATGTTAGTGCAGGCTGTCTTAAGGCATACGGGGAAGATTAAATGAGGGAACATGAGTTAGAGGGGTGCCGGGCTGATGGTACAGACCCAACATGTATTTGTTTGTTTGGGGTTTTTTTTGTATATTATATAATGCTCATCATGACCCTACCAAGATGTAAGCACACTTACTGTCACTATTTCATCAAAAAAATCCTGAGCCCCAAGCATCGAGCATAGCCGATTCACTGTGACAGAGGAAGTTCTCTAAGCCCAATCTTGTCTTCCCCAAAGGGTGACATTCCTGTTGTACATCTTGACCAATAAACTAAAAAGCATTTTGTTGGCCTTGGATAGCTATAGATGCGGAACCAAAGCAGAATATCCTAGGATGTTCTGAAATGAAAACACCTTCTTGGAAAAACCTGAAGTAATAATTAATGTATGTGCGTTTAAAGGTATAAGGATAGCTCTATGTAGGTGTGACTTAATGGCATGGTGCAATCCAATCTTACAGTTAATATTTAAATTTTTAGAAATTATCTTAGTAAAGTACACATTGACCTTAGTTCTCCCCTCAAACTACTCCCCTGGCTCTGCACACATTTATTTCATCATTCTTGCCACTTTCGGAAGCAGTTGTGGAAGTCCTCTGTAGTGAGTGGCTTTAGCTGTACTACCTTGATGTCTTGAACTGACTGAAATGATTTAACTTTCATAGCTGTTTCGATTTTGCAGGAGAGGCCCAAGCTGCATGGGGCCAGACTGGGTGACTAAGTGGATGCAGGACACACTGTCACGTTTTTTATGAACCTGCCTTTCTATTGGGTTTCTTTCCTTCTTGTCAGCATTCATCAGACCTCCTTAGGACACTTACTTTTCCTGTAATAAATATTTTAAAAATCGAATATTCAATGTATTTTTCATCACACCTTGTACTACAGAGCCCTGGGTGGAAGTCACCGGGAGCACTGCATAGCACAGGAAGTGGGTGGGAAACAAAGAGTTAATTTAAAAATCAAAGAAAAAGGAAAATATGCCAATTAAGGACAGCCAAGCAGGTTGGAAAGATTGGAACTTGAATAAGAATTAGATGAGAAAGGGCTAGCCAAATAGCTCAGCAGATTAAGGGGCCTGCAAGCAGGTGCAGGGGCCTGGGTTTTTATCCCCCGGCCTGCTGTGCCAGCCTCACCCCCAGAGCAGGCTGAGACAACAATTGAGACTGGGCATGGTGGTGAGCACCTATAATCCCAGCTCTTGGGAGGCTGTAAATAGGTGGATCACTATGAGTCCAATCTAGTAGTAAGACCCTGAACACCCTGTAGACCCTTCCCTAAAATACAAAAAAAAAGAAAGAAGAAGAAGAAGAAGAAGAAGAAGAAGAAGAAGAAGAAGAATTAGATGAGAAAGGAAGAAAGACTCTCATGACATATGATTGGAAACAGCATCTTTAACTACCAGTTGCTGCATGGCCCCTCAGATGCAAGCAGGATGATGCCATCAAAGTGCTCTGGCCCACTAACCTTCACTCACAATTTTCCTCTGATTTCCAAGTTCTGGGACACATGCTTCAGGGTGATCAGGGAAGCCAGCCACATCAACTCTGCTTGCTTCATGATAAGGCCCATGGTTTTGAGGAAAAATTTTGCTCATTTATTTTCTTCTCTACTTTAGTTGATGCCAAAGGGTGAATGTCTATTTATTTTCATTTTCAGTACACACACACACACACACACACACACACTCACACTCACACTCACACTTCACACAAGCTGATGGCTTCACAGAAATGCCACTGAGACCAGTGGTGGAAAACCTTTTAGTTACCAAATGCCAAACGATGACCAGCAGTTACTCACCTACTTAGAGCAAAGCACTAGCACGGTGATTAAACCTAAATGCTGAGGTCTGAGCTTAGAAAAAACAATTTTATAATATTTTGCTGAGTTTACACACCTATAATATTTAAATGATGGAACTTAACAAAAAAAAAGGGATATAGATGAATGTCCATTTTGTATCTGTGTATTCAAAGTGCTTAGGATAGATATATAGTTACACTCTCTTAATGAATAGAGGGATTTGTTCTAATGGTGTTTGTAAATAAGATATCATGTCCACATCTTGAACAGCAATTAACCACTGGGAGGAATGTATGCAATGTGTTAATTATTGAAACTGTCCTACCAATTTGATTTGAAACTGTCTCATTGCTATTTGTTTATCAATAAAATTATGGAAAAAAGAGAAAAAAACAATGCTATATTAATATGTTTTGTCTTAAAAGAAAAGCAGAATTACAAGCATGCCATCGGGTCACCACCACTGACCTAGATATCCCAAGGTCTATTGCTATTATATTTCTCACAAAGGAAGCTAAGTTTCATCATGAACTTTCGTCATTTCATAGGGTGACAATTGACAACTTTGTTTTGCATGTGGTGAATGAATTTCTTTTTTTAAAATCTAGATACACAGTATTGTTTGACAGTTCATCACTTTACCAGCCATGGAAGAAGTACCTCCATCACCAAAAGGTGTGCCTCCAGAAATGAATGTCATTTTGTTGGCTGCCACCGCAGCCAAGATTCTGAGCATACGGTAAGGATCACGGAGCGCGGGCTTGCGGAAGGTTGCTGTCTGAAATCATACGCTGATGATGGTGAGCTATGCCTCACGGAAGAAGTAGGAAGGATGTTGAGCACTTTCTGTTCTTTGACAAGAATTAGTGTTCCTAAAATAAGTGATACTGCCAGATTCCAGAGTCAGAGCCCAGGCCTCAGACTACCAGTGGATGGTCTACATCCAGCTCTGGTGGCTAAAGCACAAACCATCCACTAGAGCTTGATAAACACTGTAGAGCCCAGCTGGAAGTCACCAGGAACACCGCACAGGCAAGCTAGGAGGTAGGAAGAGCGGCATTGTGCCGCATTTTACCAAGGAAAACTCGTCTTACCTGCTCAGAGAGGAAGAGTCTGAGAGATTAATCTCACTTTAATGCAATGAACTGCATTTTGGATACATTTGAACTTAATTTTCTTGGTCATTGTAAATGAGTATTTTACTCTTTTATGTGCCTGAAATCCAGAAATGCTTAAGAATAAAATTAATTGAAAGTGTATTAATTTCATGAAGTTTTAGAATCTGATTCAACCTCTAAGTGCAGAAAATAGTCTTGATGTCAGTGGTTGTTAGCTCTGGCAACAGAAAGATCAACTGAGAAGCCGTTACCAGATGTGGTGTGGTGTGGCAAGGTCGGTGAGCATGCCAGGACAACTGAAGCAACCTCCTTGTAGAGGTCTTGGGCATGAGATCTTTTAAAGAATTTCCTAAAGGTGAGCCTGATGTGCAGCCAGCTGATGGTAGGTGTTTAGAGTTGATAGCTGCCTATTGCTCAGTCATTCCGGGAGCCTCTATGAATGGCTAGGCATTGCAGGTCAAGCATTGTTCCACGTATGTACTGCTACTGTGATAAGAGATTCATTCCCTAGGAAAATTCTCTGAAAATATTATGCTAGAGACTCAGACTTTTCCTTCCTTCCTTCCTTCCTTCCTTCCTTCCTTCCTTCCTTCCTTCCTTCCCTCCCTCCCTCCCTCCTTCCCGCCTTCTTTTCCACACAGCTGTTATAATTAGCAAACCATTGTGACAATGATTATAGGAATCAGATGTGAACACAGGCAATAGAGAATCATTATCACCTAACAAGTAATACTGAGAAAAAAAAAATCAATGACTAATTCAAAGGTTCTTAGCTTTCAGTTTTGATTCAGTGTTTTTCCTTACAAACTTTTGCAAGATTTGGTGACTCAGTCAAACAGCCTTATTCAGTTTCCCCTCCTCCTCTTGTCCTTGCTTATGCTGAGCCCTGTGTGGTCAAAGCACAGTTAGGAAGGAAAGCCTGTCAAGTGATTTTACCCTCAGATCCATGCAGAAGGGCCTAAAGGCCTGGTGATGTGTACCCTGGCTAGTTTACTCTAAAAGACTGCTTCAGACGGAGAAAAAGCAGTATTTCATTTGCTTTTTTGTGCTTTAACCTTTCCTTCCTCCTGTCATTCATTTTTCCCATTCCACTTTCTTTTCCTTAGGAATGCAGGTCTTGCTGCGAAGGAATGATCTGCAACGTAGAGCTGCCCACCAACCACACGAACGCAGTCTTCGCCGTGATGCATGCTCAGAGGACGTCCGGCAGCAGTGTCAGCGCATCCTCCCTGCCGGTGTTTGCCTGGGTTTTCCTGCTTCTGCTGCTGTGATGTCGCCTTTCTTAGTAAAGGGAGAGACCAGCCCTCTAAAGCACAAGGCAGCTCCTGTGTAAGCCCTGGAGTGAAGATCAGCCTTGTACTTGGTGAAGATGGATCCCAAAGCAGAAGCCAGTGATTCGCTTTGTAAAAATGCTCCTGCATGAGATCATAGTGCTGAGAATGGGGCTTGGTAGGGACTGAAAGGACTGAGATCATGCTCCCTGGTCACAGAGAGCTGTCCTGATATCTCTGCAGGAAGAATCTTGCCAGTACTGTGGCACATGCCAATAGCCTGGCTAGTCCTGGCCCCACCAGATCATTCGCTGAAAGGACTTTTTGATCTCACTGACTCCCGCAAAGGCTACCTGGTCAGATCCTCCAGTTTCTGTGGTTAGCTCTGAGTGTCTCTGTGAAATCTTACCCACTGAGAGCAGTACCTGTACTATATTAGACAGCCTGAGATAATAAGCCTATAAAGAGAAAAGGTTTATTGTAGCTCATGGTTGTGAAGGTCCCAGTCCATGGTTTATTATCCCCTTTGGACCTGTGGGGAGGCAGCACACATGGCAGGGAGTGTGTGGCAGAGCAAAAAGTCACTCTTTTCATGGCATGACATGGAAGAAAGAGAGAGGAGATCGGGGTCCCATAATCCCCTTCAAGTGTGGACCTCCAGTTACCTAAAACCTCTCCTAAAGGTTCTACTACCTCCCAATGACACCCAACCTGAGGAGCAAACTTTTAACAGCTCTTTGGGGGGACAGTCAAGCTCCAAACCACAGCACCCAGTGCCAGTGTAATAAGTAAGAAAGTTGACTGTCTAAGAAAACTTCTGGTTGAACTAACATGAAATCCATTTGCCCATTGTGAGGTATGGGGGGAATAAGTTTTTTCAATTATACGATGTAAATGCATGCTGTACGTTTCTTGACTGATGGAGGCCTGCAATAAGACCTATCTACCAGTGTCACTGAACTGGAATTTCTACATACCAGAGTGATAAATGCTGGCTTAAAGAATAAATGTCTATGCCAAAGTAGCTTAGTTGTGTTGTTTTCCTGGGAAAGAATTTTGGGGAAGTTGAATGTGAACTTTGTGAATTAAAAAGCAATCAGGAAGCTTCCCTGATCGAGGGGGCAAGACTTCATTACAGGATGCATTCTCAGAAGCAGGCTGCTGAATAAAGGTTCAAAGAGTCCATGTCTGAGACACGGGTGGGAGATTCCTCTTCCCCATCCAGCCACCTTCTCCCTGACTGTCAATTCCAACTTGAGAACCTCTCTAAGCACACGTGGAAATGTTGGACTCATGTCTCTTTCTCATTGACCTTTGTAACACAATCTCAAAATTTTCAAATGAATATCTTCTCTCTCTTTCTAGATTCCTGATTTTCTGCTTTCACATTTTCAGATGCCTTTAAGCACTGTGCCCTTGTGTGTGTAGTGATGTGTTAGTGCAATTTTTTTCTCCTACTAAACAGGCACTATTAGAAAGTCGGCTGCCCTGCAGAACTTACTGATGATGGTACCCGGGCCACATGGACCCATCTGTTATATGGGTTGAAAACGATGGCCCATCAGTCAAAACCATTCCACACTTACTTTTTGTTAATTACATTTTATTAGGGCACAACCCCATCCATTTATGTCTGTATCTACTTTCAAGTTATGATAACAGGGTTGTATAGATTTAGCAAAGATGATGCAGCGTGCAGAATCTAAAATCCTCATTCACTAGCTCTCTGCAGGAAAAGTTCGCTGACCCCTAACCTGCAGGAAGATGGTTGAAGGAGAAAGCTGCTTTCTTTGAAGGGACTTGTTGCCAATGATGGATACTTAGCTTGGGCAGTGATTTGCAAGACAATTCTTTTCTGCATTTTCTGTGTCAGTGAATTTTTCTTCTGTATTTTGAGTGGTTGATCCGTTTATTCAGTTCTGACTCTTGATAATCATATGTTGATGCCAGATATTGGACTATCTGGTATTTGTCTCTTCTCATTCTTGATAAGCCAAGAGCATCTCATCTAGCTGCTCTTTAACGCCCCATAAAACAAGAGTAGGGCAGACAAAATTATCTCCCTGTCTTTGGCCCAACCTTAGACTCACCTGGAAGGATTGGTTTCGAAACCTGATTTAGATTTATATCCCTTTTCACTCAGCACCTTAAAGTATTTGTGTTTCATAGCTTGTGCTTGTTTGAGATTAATTATATATGGCTTTCACTTGGAACATTTTAATAGCATCCTTGGTGTCTTTTCATTCCCCAGGGTTTCTTTTGACTGTGTAATTGACGAATTGTCTGGTAAAAAACATTAGCAGATTGTATTTTTTTTCTGATTTGTTTCTGCTATCTAAGTAAATGAATCTGTCTGTCTGTCTGTCTGTCTGTCTGTCTGTCTGTCTGTGTCTGTCTGTCTCTCTCTCTCTCTCTCTCTCTCTCTCTCTCTCTGTATGTGTATTCTTTCCCAAGAAAATGTCTTAATTTTCTCTCTTCACACACAATGTGAGGATGGATTTCACTCATCTCTATTTGGAAGGAAGCTCAGTGCATTAATCTGACTGTTATCTCTCCAAAGTAATTTTATTTTAAAGTTTTCATTTATATGTTTGCAGTGTATGATATTCATGTTCCTTCTGTGGAGTCAGTACCTGTGCATCACACATCTTTATTCTTATTTTCATCCCCTTTCCCTCCCCACCCCCTCCTCCTTCCTACCAGCTTCTGATTCCTTCCCCTTTGACAAAGATCTATCTTCTTATTTCTAGTCAGTCTTTTATTTTTCTCTTTATAATTTGGGTTTCTCAAAGAAAGGAAATCATGCTACATTTAAGCATGTGTCCGATTTATTTCACTTAACATTATGGTCGCAGGGTACATCCATTTTCCTACAAATGCTCAAGTTCATCCTTATGGCAGAGTTGTACCCCATTGCGTATAAATGCCACATGTAATTTTAACACTAGAACTTAGAAGATTCAATCACTAGAGTCTAACAGATGAACTTTTTATTCCATGGCATAGGACGTGAGCCAAGGAGCCAAGATCTCGTTCTAACTTAATTCCAAAATTTCCTAACACAACTGCTGTAGTGGGGCAGAAAAGAATAATATGTAGATGTGCTATTATAGAAAAGACAAAAGGATTAACTATGAATATAAGGAGAGTTTGAGGAAAAGTCTTGTCAAAAGTCTATGCATAGATCTATATTCCAGAAGAAGCTTTGAATTCCATTCCATCAATCACTGGGATTAGGGGGTTAACAACAATTTCTTCTTTAGAGTGCTCCAGCTCTCCCTAAACTGAACTCTGAGTGAAGTTAGAATCAGAAATTACAGGCATTATTTTTCATACAATCTGCATTTTATCATGCTAGCCACTAGGAAGTCTGTCTTTCAGAAGAAAAGAGAAGAAAATGAGAAAGAAACTATAATGCCACACAAAATAGGAAATGAAAACTATGGACTAGAGGTAAATTGTGACATGAAATTGAAAAAACCAGGGATTGAACTCAGGCCCTTGCACTTGCCAGGCAAACACTTATTCTACTGAGCTATCTTCTCAGTCCCTTGAATTTTGGATGTTGAGCACTTTCCACCTCATTGTTTATTGTTGGCTATATGATTTGTAGAGGTCTCCACTGTTCTGCTGGCTATATGAATGCAAATAATTTGGGAAAAAGACAAAAGCGAGTAGATGCAAGAAGAAACTGGAAAGCAAGGGGCTGTCTTGACTCAGGCGTGTCTGCCTGAGGCACGGCTCCACAGCTGCATCTGACATAGCCCACTGCTTCAGTCACACTTCCCATTCTCCTTTCATCTTCATAATTTCTCTTTCCCAGCCTCCTCTCTGATTGCCTTGACCTCTATTTCATCAGATGCTGACAGTGGAAGTTGAGTCGACACTGGGATGATCCAGAGTGTAAGACAACCATGGTTGGGCTATGAAAAGTACAGCTTACATAGCTTGATGCCGGAAATACTGTTTAGCAGGTCTGGGAATCTGAATTTTGAAAGCAGCTGATTCAGATCAGTGATTCTTCCACTGGCAGTCATAGAGATCATTTTTAGAAAGAATAACCCAGGTTCTTTGTCAGATTCAGAAAACTGCACAAAGGGCTTTTTGTTTGTTTAGTTCATGAAAACCAGTCCAAGTTAAGGGTGCAGGAAGAGCCTAGGGCACTGTGGCTGGGCCTGAGTGTCATGCTGGGGATGGTCCTGAGAGGCTGGGACCTGGGGGGCCTCTGAGAAGGGGTCTGTGGCTCCTCCCAGGCCAGCAGAATCTCCATGTACTTGCCCATCAGCTGCACTCCTGGGGAGCCCTGGCTGAGTGAGGCAGTAAGAATGCAAAGGGAAAGGGGAGACCACCCATAGGGTTACACATAGACTAAAGCCCAGATTCACTATAAGTGTTTTGCAAAAGAAGATAAACAGTGTGTGGCAATAAGTCCTGGTGAGGGATATTCTGGCAAAATGTTCTGGGGCTCCCCGGCCATAGAAGTCATCTTCTACAGAGCACACGTCATGAACTGATTTCACTGGTGAATAGAGGTGCTCAATCAAAGTGGTATGAATTAATTTCTGGGCTCGCAGTCCAGAGGGAGACTGGGGCGCTGTGTGAAATTCATCCAGTCATTCTAGCTCTGTACTCTGCTGTTCCTTGGGTTCTTGCCTCCCTCATGTCCTTTGGTTACCAGATGGCTTCTGCTGTGCCATGTGCCTGTCTGGGATGCAGGAGAGTAGACAGGGATGCTGCTGGGAAGTTCTCCAGAAACGGAAGAAGCTCATCCCAGAGGCTCTCAGTAAAGCACAAGCAAGGATGATATTACTACCCACGGCTTCATACAGCCAGAGGCAGCTCAGAACCTCTGGAAAGGTGTGCGATGTATGGCAGAGAGTAGACATCTGAACTAAACAGGAAATCAGAAAGGAATCAGGAAGACATGGACCCGGGTAGGCAGCCAAAACAGCCTGCTGCAGGTCCCCACCAGGAGAGGCTGTGTTGGCAGGTAGCTATTAAGGAGGCAGAAGCAATGCTATTGCATTAGAGATAAGAGCCAGAACTTCCAGAGCTACACAGACTTGCCCTAAGCACACAGCTAGTTAGAAGCAGTCAGACAGAGATGCCCACTACATACCGCAATTCTCAGCATGTTCTCTTGTGATGAATATGCAGTAAGATCTCTGAGTGGTGACGATCCAGCACTTCCTCAATTATTCCACGGAAGAAACTTTTCTTTATCGAAAATCTGGATTCCACGGAATATACTTTGTATAATCAATACTGCCTTACAAATGTTGACAGACACAGGGGGAAGTCTGCAAAAATATGGGAGTAAGATGCTGACTCCTAAAATAGGTGATGTGTCACAGGTACTCAATGGATGTATGGTAACTAGATGAATATTAAACTTCCAAAACTATTTCTCTGAGGCTCTAGGCTTTTCCCCATATAGGTGAGCAGAGGTATAAACTACCACAAAGGCAGCTTCAAATACTTATTGTTTTTTCTTCTTATATTTGTTGACTAGTTTCCTGATCTTAATCCAGCTCATTCTTCTCTGTCTTTAGAATTATGCTTTTGCATTTCTTTTCACATGACTTCTAAAGAATTCTCAATAGTTGTCAGTTGTTCATTATCTTCAAATATTCCTAGATTTAACACAAAATCAGTCTTGAGTCAGAGAAGGGCCTGAATGTTAAGTACTTACCCTCATTTTAACAAGTGAACTTAGACAATAGTGTACGCATGGATTTTGGCTGCCATTTTTTAGAGCTCCAGACAGATCTTCAAATGATGTCTTTTTACATCTTAGCCAACAAAAGCAAATAAAAACAGAACTAAGTGGAAAGTGAGTTAGAGGAATAATGTAGTGTTTTGCCTAATTTAAGTAAACCCATAAACCCACATTTCTTTCAGTGAATCTTTTCTTGTAATTAGTAATAAATCCAAATGTCTAGTGTTGCTTGTAGAAGATGTTTTCATAGCAGTATTCAGGATTTTGTACTTATATACTCTGT